TGGGGTTACAGGCCCTTGCAGGCTGCAAAGGGGTATACAGGAGGAAGGGTGAATGGGGCCTGGAGGGTGAAAATGAAGGGCAATTATAAGCAGCTGCAGAGGAGGAAGCAAGCCAGAGGCTGGGTACCATCCATCGCCAAGGAGCCAGCACTGCCCAGACACAAGGGACAGTTAGATTAAGCATGGCTAACAGTGAGATCTCTGCACAAGATGCACTGATACCTGTTGGGGAGGAAATTTGAAACTCCTTTCTAACATCCTCCAAAAAGCTAATTTCCAGAAGTCTTTTAAATCATAATCCTCAGGAGAAAAATTCCCTCACTCTATATCAGAAGCAAGCCTACATGTTTAAGGTTTGACTGAGGACTTGTGGCAGGGTTAGAGCAAAGCAGTAGAGTGCTTGCCTAGCACACACAGACCTTGGGTTCAATCCCAGCAGCACAAACAATGTTTCCTGTATGGTCATTCAATAACCCACATGCCCACACATCGCCTCCTTACTCAGTCCAGTGGGTCACTGTGCCTGGGGCTCAGTCTGGATGTGTTCCCTGTGATGTTAAACAGGGCTCTTGCTCCAGTCATCTTCCTAGTGATGAGCAATTAATTGTTGTAAGGCTGGGTTTAGTGTCCTATCCAAGCTTTCCCAGCCTCCCCCTGATTTTGCCTTTGCTGCTGCCTACCATGGTGGCTGAGACAGTCCTTCCAATCTCACCTCTGGGGCTGCACCTTCCCAAGCAGCTCCAGGACCAAGCAATTAGGAAAGCCAGACTGAGCACCACCACGTCTCCTCTCTCCAGGCCCAATTTCCATTTTAGTTCCATGCAATGGGTATTTACAGAACATCTAACCTGGGAGGTTCAGAGCTGAGTGTGTATGAGCTTGCGTATGTGCCTGTATGTTTGTTTGGGGGAGGGTCCTGGGATGGGACCACTAGAGAGTGATCTTGGATGGCCCATCTCATATCTTTCAAAAAATGAAATTCAGGACCACTTTGAATGTATTGTGGAACGTAGTACAGTCAGTCAATACTGATCCTTGGATGAATTGAGTTTTTGAATTCTAGGGTTGTCTCACAAGTTAAGTCTCCAAGGCCCAGAGGGAAACAAGCCCTACTCCACCATCCCTCAGCCCCTCCAAGTCTCCTAACTGATCCTGGGCTTTGCTTCCCATTGTTTTCTGGCTGAGAGCTAGAGGTGATCATGATAAGTCAGCAATTAGCAAGGTCTCCCTCCTCTCACCTTAACGAGGACAGAGACAGCCAGTGCCCAGGCTTGCCTTTGCCTCCTCTTCTCTGATATTTATTAGCCTCGCAGATTATTATTAGTGGCACTGTGGAGCTAATCACTTCCCTGGTAGATACCTGGCCTCCCCCTAGCTCTTGCTCCTACATCATCTGCACTTGACCTGGCTTCCCAGGGCTCCAAGACTGCCTGCTGGCTGCTCCAGGGAGGAGCAGAGGTGAGCCCACCTGGATAAGATTGGGGAATCATCTCCCCCAGGAGGGTGACCTCTGCCCTGAGCCCCCAAAGACTGACACTGGAGAGGTAGAGGGGTGGTGGGGGGCAGGGGGAGGGGCAGGGGAGGGAGGAGGAAATCTGGAGATGCACTGTGAGCTACAGCTGCCCTGGTGCTTATTGGACTCTAGTTCAGCCCCTGTTAGCACTTCCAGAGGGAGACACAGCAGACCAGGAAGAAAGTCCAGCCTATGACAGAGTTCCCCAGCCCAAAATCAATGAGGGGTGATGGAGGAGGGTAATTAGCATTTCTCTCCTTCCCCAAAGACTACAGAAGAGAAAACAAACTTTATTTCCAGCAGGAGGAATTTAAGTAGCTGGGGAAGAAGTTTGTCTTAGTGAAGGGGTTTTGCTTCCTTGGACAATGTCCTTGTATCCTTGGGCAGCTGAGGTAGTTCTCACCCGTTCTCACCTTGCATTACCCTGTTGAAAACTTCTTGGTCAACCCCACTGGGTGGAAAACCCCAACCCAGGGGCTGGGCAGTCAAGGATTGCCCTTGCCACTCCAAATTACTCCCTTTCTTGGCCCATCTTGATAAGCCAGCTCAGGTGGCTCCAGCTACAGGTGTCCCCTTCCTTGTTCTGGCCTGGATCACCGCAGCTTTGCCCAAGTGTAAGGCCTATGCCTTACACGTTGTTGAATCTCCTCCCTCCTGGGTACAGTATTTTACATAAAGTATGTGCTCAGTAGCTACCTTTGCTTAACATAAGGGACAAAGTAAGTCCCAATGTTCTTACCATTTGTAAGGTATTATAACCGAGTGTTTAGAGCTACTAGGAGAATAAGCAAGCAAGACATTGATAAGTTATAGGACCTATTACCTCATCTCTTCCTCCAAAATAGCTCGTTAGGTAAACATTTGGATTTCCATTTTTAATATTTGAAAACTGAGTATTAGAGAAGTAATTTTCCCAGGGCCATATAGCCAGTAACTAACAGAGCTGTGGGATATGAATGAAGTTCTAAAGTCAACACTTACATTCCCTTTGCTAAGGATGTCGTCACTGGCCAACCTGCTTCTGTCCAAATATCAATTTGACTTAGATCAGTAACAAAAAACTTGCAGAGAATTTTCAAAAAAAAAGATGAAACAAGTGAAAAAGACTCTTAATATTACTAATCATCTGTGTGCAGAGCAGGAGAAATGAGTCCTGATCACTGCTTACCTCTCCCTTGGCCCATTTCACCCATGGAAATGGGAGGGGGCCCAGGAGGTGAAAAGCAAGCAAGACATCATTAGTGGGCCTTTCAGAGTGTAAGAATGTAAATTCCACAAGGTTTGAGGATAGATGGATTAATGGGTAGATAGATAGATAGATAGATAGATAGATAGATAGATAGATACATAGATAGATAGATACATAGATAGATAGATAGATAGATAGATAGATAGATAGATAGATAGATAGATCAAAATCACAATGACATGTCAAATCTAACGCCCCGGAGGATGGTCATTCTGAAGGGAGAGGAAAAGAATAACAATAACAAGTGTGGGTGAGAATATAGAGACATTGAAAAATTGGAACTTTTGTGCCCTGATAGCAGAAATGAACATCTGTGCACTTGCTACAGAGAGCAGTGGAGCAGTGGCTCAAAAAATTAAAAATCAAATTAATCAAATTCACCATTTGCACTTCTGGGTGGATATACAAAAGAATTAAAAACAAGATCTTGAGAAAATATTGTATATCTATGTTCATTGCCCCACTATTCACAATAGACAAAGTATAGACACAACCCAAGGCCCACCAGCAAATCAGTGGTTGAAGAAAACATGGTGTATATATGCCATGGCATATTATGTAGTCTTTAAAAAGGAAATTCTAGTACATCCTACAAGGTGGATGAACCTTAAAGACATTATGCTCAGTAATATAAGTCAGTCACAGCAAAAGGCAAATACTGTATGATTCCACTTATATAAGATACTTAGAGTAGTTAAATTAATAGAAACAATGGTTACCTTGGAGGGTGGGAGAGAATTGGGGAGTTTAATGGGTAAAGATTTAGTTTCAGTTTTGCAAAATGAAAAAGTTCTGGAGGTTGGATGCACAACACCATGAGCATATTTAACATTACTGATCCATATAGTTATAGATGGTTAAGATGGTAAATTTTATGCTGTGTTTTTTACCACAACTGAAGGTGTATATCTATGTCTATCTGCAGGTATCTATCAATCTATGTGTCTATCTATCTACCCATTAATCCATCTATCCTCAAACCTTGTGGAATTTACATTCTTACACTCTGAAAGGCCCACTAATGATGTCTTGCTTGCTTTTCACCTCCTGGGCCCCCTCCCATTTCCATGGGTGAAATGGGCCAAGGGAGAGGTAAGCAGTGATCAGGACTCATTTCTCCTGCTCTGCACACCCAGCCCCCCACCACACTTCTTTGTACATGTGCACACGTCCTAATGCTGGGAAGAAGGGCCCAGCCAGTTACAGTCTTATGGCTTTTCTTACCGGTGCTCCCTGGAGGGCAATCATTAAAGTCAAACTGAGCCTTGCAGAAGGCTCTGTAAGGGCACAATCCAATGTCCCCTCAAGGAAATTAGGGAGTCTCTCTTCTGTCATCCCTAGACACTTCTTGGCAAGAGTTGGTTAGCTTGTCACAGATCACCGGAAGAGAGAGAGACAGAGACAGAGACAGACAGAGAGATAGAGATAGGGAGATACACAGAGAGAGAGAGAGACAAAGAGAAAGAGAGAATTAGAGTTCACGCACACAGCGTTTGGGATGAGGAGGAGGAAACAAGACCTGTGCTTCCGGTAGGACCACTAGATTTAGCCAGCTGTCCGCAGGCCGTCAAACAGCCCAGTCTCTCCCCAGACAGTCCTCCTGGTGCTAATCATTCGTTATTTGGCTGGGAATGAAGTTTCTCCACCGAAGTCCTTCCTGTCCAGATGTTGTCACCAGCTAGTCCCATCCGGCCAGGCTGGCCTGGGGTCTGACTCTCGCCTATCAGTCCTGACATCTTCAGTGGATAATGGAACGGCAAGGATGTGAGAGGCAGAGCAGGTGCATGCTAATGAGGAGATCAATTTTAATTATGATTTTAATTAAACACCCGATCCAGTAGGAAATATGACAAGAACTAGGCTGGGGCTGTGCAACCTGAAAGGGGGAGGAGAGAAAGGAGGGGAAGCCAGGGGAAGGTAGGAGACTTCCAGGCCTCCTCAGGATTTAAAAGAAGTAAAGGGCAGCACTGTTGGGAAATAGAGAAAAACCTGTGTAGCCTGCAATTTGCACCTAGTAAGCCTTTTCCTCTATTGATTCAGACTTCTAGAGACCCCTGGAAGGGAGAATCTTAGCATGGAGGAGACCTGGAAGCTCACCAAGCTCTGCCCCTTCACTTTGTATGGGGAAGCTGAGGCCCATAAGGGGCATTACTTTCTTATCTGCCCCCCATAGCCTGCTGGCATGCCTCCAATAAAGTACTGATCACTATATAATCACGAATGGGTCTCACCCTCCCCAATGTTTATGTCAAGAATCTGTGACGGCCAGTTGTTTGCAAAGTGCAAGCCCCCAAGGGCAAAGCTGCATCTGCCAGTCACTCTGCACAGCCTCACGGGCAAGAGAACACTGCCACTCACACAGCCCACGCCTCCTCATCTCCAAGAAATTGTGTAAAATCCAGGATCTTCCCCAAATTCCGTATCCAGTCCCACTTGGAGCAATGCCTGACACACAATATGCACTCAGGAAGTGTTTGTGCAGTGTACAAATTCACGAAGTTTAAAGTCCATGCCATTTAATTAAAAGTCAGGAGCAACACTGAATTGTCACTTGCAGTTGTTTTCTTCCAGCTTTTGTGAGGTACAACTAACAAGTAACAATTGTGTATGTGGAAGGTTTACAATGTGGTATTTCGATAGACGTCTCTTACCAAAGTATAGCTCAAGCTTATAACACGTGACTATGAACTCTAGTCACCATACCACACACTAGCTCTCCAGAATTAATTTTTTTATAAATGCAAGTTTGTACCTTTAACCGACATCTCCTCTTTTTCTTCTCTTGTCTGTGGTAACTACCATCCAACTCTCTCAGTGAGTTTGACTTTCTTAGATTTCACCCAGAACTGAGATCAGGTAATATTTGTCTTTCTGCATCTGATTTTTTCCACTTAGCATCATGTCCTGAAGGTTCACTAATGCTGCTGCTAATGGCAAGATTTCCTTCTTTTTAAAGGAAGAATAGTATTTCATCATGTATCTGCACCTCGTCTTCTTCATTAGCTTACCTTTCAGTGGACACTCAGTGACTTTTCTGTTTGGGCTGCTATAAATCATGCTGCAATACAAATGAGAGTGCAGATACCTCTTCTTCACTGCTCTTAAGCCAGACTATCAGATCTCTCAACTGCCCTAATGGAAGCGAACACTGAGTATGTGCTTGTGTGTACAGTGTGCTGTGCATGAGGTGGCAGAGGAGAGGACATATCTGGAAGAAGGAGCTCACAGAGACAAGGGAACTGATCCATCAAGACTCTTAATAACAGACAATCCTAGAATAACAAAATGGCAGAACTGCAAGAGATCTTATAGGTAAGTACTGTCCAACAAAACTTTTAGGATGATGGACATATTCCATATTTACTCAGTCTGACCAATAGCCACTAGCCATGGGTGGTTACTCAGCATTTAAAATGTGGCAGTGTGACTGAGGAGCTGAATCTTTTAATAAATTTAATTTTAATTACTTTACATTCAAACAGCTGGATGTCACTAGTGGCTATTGCCTGTTAGACATGCAGCTGTAGATCCCCTAGTCAAATTCTTTCTTTGTTGAGGAGACGACATTAAGGCCCAGAAAAGTAGTCCGGGGACCCCATCTAAGTTCCACACATAGAACACTGGAACTCAGTCCTACAATGGCTTTTCAGTGCGTAAACACAGTGTTTGTAAAGGGATTCCACTTAGGATTTAATAAAGACCCTCCCAAGCCCTCAGCACAAAGACCAGAGATCAGTCCAATTTCCTCTGATAAGCTTAGACTGAAAGAGCCAGAGACAGGGGCAAGAGCTTGGGGAAATAGCCCAACTGCTGTTTCTGCCTCTGCCCTACCATCTCTGCCCTGGCAGGGCCAGCCCATCTGGTCCTTTCATTTGGTAATGTGAGGTCTCCCCCACCTCATCTCTTGCAGCTAAGATCTCCCTACTGGTGAGAACGGAGAAACTGAATTGGAGATGGTGGCAGAAGTTAATTGAGATTAGATGTGCGTGTTCCACGGCTAACAAAAGCACAGATGCTCCAGAGCCACTTCTTAGGCCAGATCATCTTCCAAATGCTTTCCTCTCCTCCCTCTCTGCTCCCCGCCTACCTACTCCTAGCAATCCGCCATCTCCAGGGGCTCCAGAGGGATATTGATTGGGCTCTTTCTCCCCCTTGCATGTTATGACTCAATATCAGTTAAACCTTTTCCATAATAAATGAGGTCATTTGTGGGAGGAATGGAGGAAATAGGGACTCTGGGCCTCTCTTTAACACACTCATCTCGCCTCCTCCTTCATTTCCTCTCTTCTGTTATCTGCTTCATTCTTTGGGCTTCCAGTAAAACAGGTGAAGTCAGGATATCCACAAATCACCCTCTCAGTCAGAACACAAAGAATGCCCTTTGTCAAAACACATTTCAGGCTGCCAGATTGTCAGGGATAGAGAATCAGGGGAAAGGATGTACTACCCACCCCCAGTGAATTCTCCCACCTACAGGGGCCCTCTACAGTTGGGGCAATTGGATTCCACACTTCAGATAGACTTGCATTCTCAGACTCTGGGAGCTAGTTTACCAGGAACACCTTCTTAGAAAGGATGTATTCAGAATTCTCTGTTCCTTTCCAGTAAGTAAGGGATCAAGAAGGACAAAGACACAGATATTTCCACCTGTGATTCTAAAAGCATTTTCTTCCTCATCCTAAGTCTGAACATGTTCCTGACAGCATCACCCTAGGATGTCATCCCACTGTCCTTAGACCAGACTTGGATCCATACACTCAGGACCTCCTGGAAAGACAGAAGCAGCCTCAGCATGGATGTTGCAGTCTTCCTAGAAAGAGAAAGACCCTGATGAGTCACGACTGCCTGCCTGTTGTGGACCTGTTAGATGAAACAGACAAAAATGTAACAGATAGACTGCTGACCTACTGGGGTGCAGGAGCATCCAAGAGCATGCAGGGTGAGAAGCGAGCGGTGTAGGGAGACAGGCCATGAAGCCATCAGGGAGGGAATGAATCAGGGATGGACGGGGTGGGCCAACTCACTGGGGTGGCCCTGCCCACTCTAAGTGGGGTCTCAGCTGGACGGTGAAATTCTTTCTTCAATAGAATTGACAAGACACTTTTGCAATTCTCACATTGCAATCCATTTGCTCCTTCCTTAAGAAACCCCTGCCAGAGACCAACCCGTGTGGTAAGGAAACTCACTGGCCCTTCCTCTGCTTTCTCCCTTCTCTTCACTACTGAAGCCCTCTTCCTTTGCTGGAAAAATATCTACTCTGTTTTTATAGGGTTCCACCTCAGAAGAACAATGGATCTGGCAGGTGAACAAAGGCAAGAGAGTGGAAATGGCAGGAGCAGGAATGGAGGCAAAAGAGTCGGGTGGTGGATACTGTGCCTCTTAATTAATATTCAGATTCTTGCTTGGCATGGTTCTGTCCCCAGCATTAGCTGTTTTCCTAACAGGCTGCAAGCACTAGGTGTCTTTGAAGTCCCTGCAGGTGAGCGCCGGGCTGCGTAAGTGTTGGACAGCTCCCCCACCCTCCGCTCTCTTTCCCCTACTCAGTCAAGTGGAGGTGACTCTGGGTGGACATACCCACTGCACACTGCAGGGCACTGACTCAAAGCCAGACAGACACAAGATGCTGTGGAGTGTTGACCCCCATGCCCACACAGCACTCCCAGAGCATCCCTGGTGGGAAACAAGCAGGGGGGAGATGACTTCTGCCTGACAGGCGAGGGCCCACACCTTGCCCCTTACTCTGCACAAACATGTTTCTTCTCCTGTTTGGATTTCCTATCAAAGCCCAGCGATGTCACCACTCTTTTCTAGCAATTAGAAAGCCCTGACACACATGCAAGGGCTTGATTAGCACTGACAACATCCCCCAATCCCTAAAGTCCACCATGGATCCCAGAGACAAAACTCCCTTTCTGGCCCATTCCTCCATGTGGAGGGCCGAGTGAGTTGTGAAGGGACTGCTTTGTCTCACACATTTGAGGACCCTGGAATCTAGGCTCAGAGCTAAAGAGGAAAGGTGCAGGTAAATCCAAATCCAGACAGACACTTAGCATCCTGTTCTTTGAGTTTCTTCACACCAACCCACCAAAGCAACTCTATCCGCCAATATCTAGCAAGCATCTCTTGAGAATGAGGTGTCACAGAAGATCCAAAGATGTGTGTGTCAAAATCCCTGACCGGACGTAAACAAATGTAGACCTGTCTTAAGGCGATGCCATTCATGGCACACTGGTGGCTACTCAGGTGTGAACTGCAAAACTATCACATGAAGCACAGTAGGAGCCCTGGGTGTCATGATCACAGGTGTGCTATTCACAAGAGAAGGGGGCATACACCAAATGCTGAAGGAATGGAGGAGGACAGTCCTTGTGTGATGACTGGATGGAGAGACTTCAGCAAAGTCACAGGGCATGAGCAAAGCTTACAAAGTGATTTGGGTTTAACTGAAAGGCAGTGGGTATAGAGAACATTCCAGATGGGTAAGATCTCATGAGGCAAGATGTGTGTTCAGAAAGATGCAGTAAAATTCAAAACACAGAAAAAAGTCTGACCAGAACAACTTAGCTGGAAAGGAGAGCTATGTGGAGCAGACTTAAGATACCAGTTTGAAGATGTCCACTGAACACCGAACCCCACCAGTGAGCCCTAGCTGAACCCTGACCTGCTAGAGACTCACATCCTAGATCTTCCTAGAGGTAGGAGAGGAGTTGGGATTGCGTTCATGGCTAGCGCCCAGACCCAGATCCCCAGCAAGCACCCCCAAATGGATACTCACCGCACATAGGCAGCAGGGCTCTCTTCAGCCTCTCTCCTGAGGAAGGTGCTCCCACTTTTCCACACACAGAGCCCGACACCCACCATCTACCTGTGAAAGAGCAAGGCTTTCCTGTTCACTTCCATTACCCTGTTTACCAAGAGCCTGTTCCCATTTTCCTGCGTACATGCTTATCATGCCCCGTGCACTGTCCCCAAGGCCCTCCCTCCCTCTCAGTCCAGTGGAGGGAAATAGAGGCTGATCTCTCCACCTGTCTTCCAGCGCTAACTTGCTCAAAACACTTCAGGGACTTGTTGCATTGAGTGTGCCCTCTCATTCTCAAATTTTCAACTTCCCCTCCCTACTTGAACTCTCTCTTCATTATTCAAATATGATCTAGAATTTCCCATCTTAAAATCGGAATTTTCCTTGCCCTGCACCCACCTTGAACAACTACCCCACCTCTGAATTTACTCCTTCCGGAACCAGGCTGCCTAAAGGCATAGAAACAGTTGCTTTCTCTATTTTTGTTTTTCTTTTTTTGAGACAATGTCTTGCTACACAGTTCAGGCTGCCCTTGAATTCACTAGGTAGCCCAAGCTGGCCTTGAACTCACGGCAGTCCTTCTACCTCAGCCTCAGCCTGAGTGCTGGGATTACACGTGTACCACACTCAGCTGCTTTCTAAATTTTTTAATTTCAACACATCACTGGGCCTTCAGAGATGCCCCCTCTCATACAGATGCACACACTACTGAACTCACCCTTGCTCAGACTACTAATTACCAACAGATACCTAAGTCCCATGGGTGCCCACTGGTATCTTTACCTTCAATAGCATTTGGCCAGCTAACCCCTCCCTCCTTGCTCTTTGTTCGTTCTGTTCCTGTGCAGACATTTTTTTCCTTGTTTCTTTCTAACTCTTGCTGGCTTTGGGCAGCCTCCTCTCTCTTAAGTAAAACTCACGGACTCCTTACTATGTGTGCCATCCTAAGCACTTTTTATTTTTACCTACTTTAAACCCCCAGAATAATCCTATGACATAGATGTTATTATTTTCTCCATTTTGCTAGGTGAGAAAACTAAGATATATACGAAACATTGCCCAGCTTATTTAGATAACAACTGCCAAAGACAAGATTTGAACAAACAGTTTGGGTCCTGGGTCTATACTGTTAGACATGATGTTGTGCGGTTTCTTTATCTGTATCAGTAAGAATAGGACAGAATATGTTGCAGGTGCAAACAACCTAAATGTTGGTAGCTTAATATAACATGAGGTGTTTTCCATCTGCTCTGCACAATCACTCAGGGACTCAGAAAATAGAGGCTCAACAACTTGTTGTTACAGCAAGCAGAGGAAGAGAGGAAAAAATCACATAGAGGTTTTTCACTGGCATTGCCAGCCATGTTTCTTCAACTAGAACTAGTTGCACGGTCCTGCCTACCTATGAGGGTGTAGGGAAATATCGGAGAGTGGGTGCAATATTTGCTGAGATGTTGTATACGCAATACTAAACCGTAAGTGCTGGCATTCCTCCAGATTCAGTCTGGGTCTTCACCTTATTTCCTACAGCTTTACTATCAATATAACAAGTCTTCTCAAATTTATACAGTTAGCCCAGACCTCAGCCTCATTTCAGAGCACCAATCTTGTCTATCTAACTGCTTACTTGACATCTTTAAAAGGGGATCTCAAAAGGCCCTTAAATTTAATTACATTCAATCAAAACCCTTGGAGTTCCCCCCCATCATAATTTCTCTCCTCCCCAACCTATCTCATTTCAATAAGTGATGTTTCCACCCATTTATTCATTCTGCTAGAAATCTAGAAAGTATTCCTGGTCCCCCTCCCTTTATTTCCCCTAGTTAACCTATTGCCAACTCTGGCCAAGTCTATCTTCAAAATTATTTTAAATCTACCCAGTTATTATCAGCACTGTTACTCTTGTCTAAGCCACCATTATCATGTGCCTAGACTTCTAGTAACCTCTGCTCTACTCTCCCTACTTACTCTCTATGTCTTTCTAGAACATTCTCCACACTACAGCCAACCTTGTCCTTATAAAGTGTACATCAGATCATGCCACCTCTTTCTTCCATAGTGTAGTTCATGTTTTTCAGGTTAGGTACTGGCTCCTTAAAGGGACCTGCAGAGCCCCCACTGTGTAGCCTGTGTGCTTCTTTCTAGCAACTCCCTAAACTATTCTTCCCCTCATGCACCACGCTCAGGCCTCACCAACTTTCTCTGAATTCCTGGAATACACCAGGTAAAAACCTTCCAACACATTACTCCCTGCCCTTGGAATGCTTCTTTTTACACTCAGCCCTATAAAATCTTTCTCATGCATAGATTTCATCCTAAATCTCACCTCCCAGGTAAGACCTTCTATGAAACCCCTAATGAAAATGAGCTCCTGCTGGTACACCATCTCAGCACCCCCTACACTTCTGACTTGTAACACTAACTATAACTGCACACTTATCTTTGTGACTCTTTATTTTATCTTACTGTCTTGGAACTGTAAGCTCCGTGGAAGCTATAGGAGCATGCACATTTGCTCACCATTGTATCTTCTGTAAACAATGTCATTTGTATACAACAGCATATAATAGGTCAGCAGTCAATATTTGTGAAATGAATGAATCAGTGAAAAAATAATTCCTGCCCCAGAATGCGCCATCAGTGATCAGCAGATACAGTCTAAACAGAATTGGCTGGCTGACTTCCCAGCCCCTCACTCCCTGTCAGTGTATTTATGATCAATAGTGATCTTTCCTAATTCTCCAAAAAATGTGCAGATCTGGATGGTCTATCATGAACTGGCTGAGCCTTCTGAGAGCACCGGGCTACATCTTCTAAGGTGAACATCATATTCTTTTCCTGGTATAAGAAACTGAAAGAGTAAATAAAATTCAAAGGGTACAACAGATATTGTGAAAGGGAAAGAAACTGCTCAAAGGGAAGGAACAACTGGGAGAAAGGAAAAGAGAATATAAGGAAGGGAAAAAAGATATGTATATATACATAAGATAGCTAAGATAATTATGTTACTAATTTCTATTAGTTCATTGAAAGGAACAGTTAGTGCGTATATTGTTTGATCAATTTTGCTTGCCTGTATCTGGTAATCTGAGCAATGACTTTGAAGATAACAATATGCAGTATAATAACCACTATTAATTTCTTATCATCTTGTCTTGAAATTCTGTATCATTTTTGGCTTTTTAAAATAAAAAACTGTAGAAAGAGACAAAGAAAATATATATTACTGAAAAATTGATTCATGAAAAAAATTAAAATTAACAAAAATTTAAAAAGAAGTCTGGGTTCAAATCTTGACTGCCTAACAATAATGGTGTGACTCTAGACAATAATGTTACCTTTATAAATTCCATCCAAATCTCTGTTTCCTCACCTGTAAAGTGGGGGTATCAAAAATATTCCTCTTACAAGGTTGCTGTGAGGATCAAATGAAATTAAGTATGCAAAGCATGCAGCATATGGTAAGTGCTCTGTAAGATTAGTTGTTGTGATCATTACACTAAAATCCTTAATAAATTATAGCCGTTCTCCATTGTTATGGTGTTTTATTTCATTCCTTTATCTGACAGACTCTCAAATCTTAGCTTAAGCACTGCATCTTCAGGAAAGCCTTCCCCTTCTCTCCCAGGCAGAGGTCATGAGTTGTTTCCTGGTCACACCCACCCTGTGTTTCTCTTAGGGCACTATTACAACGGATTGGACTAAAGGTTTCATACATGCCATTCCCAGCTTCAAATATACACAGGTGTAGGAGGCTGAGCTTCCCAAGAGTGTACCTCAAGCCTTGCTCTTTGTTTTATACACTCAGTGCCTTGCTCAGGGCATAGACAGAGCAGCGTTTAAGAAATGTTTGTTGATTCAATAAACAAGGAATTCTATGCTACCCCTTAGAAATTGCCATCATATCAAATATGTGTTAACTGATTCATTTAAACACACATCGTGTCCCTGTATTCTCAGTGTTCAGGATTGTGAGGTACACACTCTCTTTGCCTGGGAATAGCCTTCTTTGGGGTTCAGATAGAACTGGGCCCTTGGGAGAACTACAGCCAGAAAGTAAGATCCCTACATGTCTTTGTTCTGGGAAGAGTTCTGTGGATGTGGGGACCATCTCTCCCCTATCATCAGCTCCAGGGTTTTCATTCTCTGGTTCAGCAACGAGGCCTCACAGAAAAGCTCTACCCCAAGCAGAACAGGGCTGAAAATCATATTTTCACGGGATGTCAAACCTCCTCTCTTACCTTAAATGAAAGGTATTATTTCTGAGAGGAGAATGTCACACTCCACCACCAAAATTCTGCTTCCTCGGCAAAAACCCCAGCAGTTTCTCTGCACAGCTGGCAGCTCTCCACCCAAGGCCAATACTGGGAAATTCACCAGGCCCAACGCAAATCACGGGAGCACAAGGCACTCTGATTAAAACAAGGGAAAGCAAAGTCAGGGAGTGTTATTAGCTGTGCAGAAACAGGGTAGAGAGAGGAGATATGGTCCAGACACCACCTCGGGACCCCCAACAGATCCCAACTCCTCTCGGGAAATTCACCCATCACTTTGCCAAGTAAATAAATTATCCTTAGCTCAGCAACCTCTGGGCCTTTCCTATAATGGATGATATCCTTTCACCTTCATCTTGGTATATATAAAAATACATCCTTCTTAGCTGCCAACAAGCTATCCATCCCTTGTCTCTAAGCAATTCCTGCTGGAGACAGGGACCTCTTTCTAATTCGCCCACACTGAACCTGCCCTGGGATAAAAAGCCTGGTACAGAGCTGGGCAGGTGGAAAAGGTGTCAGGCAGAGAGTGCATTCAAATAAATGGGAAACTGTCTATACTTTTTAATGAGTGAGAGTGCACTGGGGAGAACAGGTCAGAAAGTGGCTGTCTCTCCCTTGAGCATTCTGTTGTGTCAACTTCTATGTGTGCAGCCTGGGGGCTGATCATGCTGTAAGTTCCCCAGAGTCCCAGGAGCACTCACTGCTTACCTAGCTGGCAGCTCTAAGCAAGGACACCTGTCCACTTTGGCCGCATCTTCCCAGATTGGGAGGGTGCAGGTCCTGCTTACC